GCAGTTGAAATGGGTGGCCTCAAGCTGGAAAAAGGGAGGGGCAGGTCTTCAATTTTCAGTACTGGTCCACGCAGATTTAGTTAGAGGGTATTGTTCAAGTAACCAAGGTGACTGCTGGACCACAGTACAGTTATCATCCTTACTAATTGCATTTATTGCAAGCTTTGGTAGTTTTTTATAAGAAGGTAGTATTATTTCTTAGTAGCGAGAATATTTCTTTGTAAATAAATGTCAGCTGAGCTGGCCTCCGTCTGCCTGAATGCTGCGTTTTCAAGCAGTTGCATGGGTACCACTGTACAACTATACTATCTGACAAATACTATATGTAAAAATTAAAACAACACTCATAATGCAAAACCACAACAACCATCCCCAAAACAAAGAAGCAAACAACCCCCACACCTGCCAACAGGTACCAAAAGTAGTGTGACAGGAGATATCAGCTGAGTATTAAGAAATAATTAGAATATGCTAACTTACCATAAGGAACTACCGGGGCGGAGGGGGGTGGGGCGTAAAAAGAGCATTGTCTTCAACAAAACATGTTTAGTGTAAAATAATAAAGTTATTGCTTTTGCTTTACAGTTACTGAGCCTTTTTGATGTACTAAGATTAAATCTCCTTAATCAATATAGCAATAAATATACTCTATCTAAATTTCTGTGAAAAGTAGACTCACATTATCATTTGAATTAGTTAGCCAAGACTTATGGAAAACCTAAGGAAAAGATGTTTGTGTTAAAATGGTGCAAGTATACAAGTCTGCTATATGGAATAGGTGAAGGTGTGTATTGTGTGTTGTATGTAGGTTTTGGTAGCAGTGTTATGACTTCAAATCTGAATCGGATTAAAGTCTTAGAGGTGATATTTGGGTTTTGCTTAATTAAGGAAACTAGTGACTGTTCAAGTTTAACATGAGAAGTATGGAAGTATTATTTGAACACTGAAGGACTGTATGAATTTGAACACCAACACAAGGCAATATAAAAATAAAGGGCTTTTTGCCTTTTCAAAAGTTAGATTTAGTTGTGCCAAAGCACAAGGCTTTAAAGTGCCCCAAAGACTTTAAAGCTCTACTTGACAAGGGCTAAATTAACAGTGATGTTGGATTCATGCAGCCAAATCAAATATTTCTGTTGTGACCATTAATTGAAAATTAAAGTGAATCTTTCTGGGACTGTATGGTAAACTGGCAGCTGCATTCTTACAAACGGAACAAACCATTTTATGGGGACTTCAGTGTAGTGTAGGAAAAGGTCACGTTCTTCAAGGTTTTGCCTTGTAAGGCTAAATTTCAAGCTACTTTCTTTTACTGTTCTTGAAGACAACAGTTAACATTGTTTACCATCACAGGCCTTGAGAAATGCAAGGTGAGCTGGAGTACTTTAGATGTAGAAGTTTTTATTTAAATTTATTTAATTTATTAAATATCCTGTGTGCTGTAATGAAGGACTAATTAGCCATGCTAACTCACTTTCTCTGCAGGGTACGTCATGACATGCCATGTTTCTATATTTGTAACTATCAAGCTCAAAATACAGAGCTAGAGCAGACAAAAGACCTATCAATTCAAGCTTAATTTTCTCGGACTTTCAGTGGAATGTATGCTGCTTATTGTCTGCACATTAAGAGAGGATGAAACCTTGTTTGTTGGTGACCATGAAGAGTTAATTTTCAGAGAGTTTTTAAAGGCTGCAGGCTAGTATTTTTTTAAGTATTTTTTATTAATATAATACTTGAGAGGTTAACTAGTGGATCTGTTGCTGATGAAAACTTACCGTTATACTTTTTGATTTTTAGGGACTCTAGGATCTATTTACTAACTTTGCACAGAATGGAAACTTAATGACTTTTTCAGGAGTTGTATTTAATAGTAATAAATTCCAGATGTCTCAGGAAAACATTAGGGCTGCAGAATAAGAAGAGAAAAGCAGGATAAAGAACTAAGAGCATTTGCATGCATGGCATTTTGTGCTGTTTGAGGCATGGCAGGTGTGGTCCGTCCTTCAGTATTGTGCTGGGAAGTGACTCAGAACATTTATGCTGATGCCTGTTGAGAGGCAGGAACTGAAAATAAAATTGCCCACCTGGGCCCTCTCATAATTAATAAGATTGAAGTTGAAAGTGGATATAAGAGAGTGATACAAAAGTTAACAGGGAAAAAAGCATTTACAACAAGTCTCATTAAATTAATTGTAGCAGTTACTTGAGCTCAGGAAGCCTCAAATTCTGAAGGCTTCCACCAAGGGAGCTTGCAACTTTATACTATAAATGAGCTTTAAGTACTTTTATTACTTGTTGTCACTAAATAGAAAGAAAATTTGTGAAGGTCAAAGTTATTTTTTTAAGGTGGCGCTTGTGAGAACCAACAGCTGTTAAAAATGAGTTGCAGCGTAAGTGAAGCCACCTAAGCTTATGAGGCAAACTTAATTGTGTTCAGACGTGTTTCGGAGAACAGAGCTGACCTTTTATCATCACAGTGTATTTCTAACTAAGGAATTCTGTGTTTTGGCTGCCTTGAGATTAAAACGGGCAAGTCCATACTGAATTCCTTGAGACAAAAAACTGTGTTTATGCTTTTATGACACATTTGGAAAAACCATTTTTCTGTTTTTAGCTGAACTTGAAATTTTAGCAGTACAGGAGTTATGTCCCTGCTTCCTTGTTGCTAGTTCATAGAATCATAGAACCATAGAATGTGTTCGGCTGGAAAGGACCTTTAAAAGTCTAGTCCAACCGCCCTGCAGTGAGCAGGGACATCTTTAGCTAGATCAAGTTGTTCAGAGCTGCATCAAGCCTGATCTTGAATGTCCCCAGGAATGGAGCCTCCACCACTTCTCTGGCAACCTGTGCCAGTATTTCTCCACCCTGCCTGCTGCTGCTATCTACTCGTTCTGAACCTGCAATATCACAAGAGTAGATTTATGCTGCAGTTAGAAGTGTGCACGCAGTTTATAAAGCAAGCTAATTTTAAGCTGGCAGTTAGGGTTTTAGCAGTTAGGGGCTGAACAGATGTGTGAAAGGCTAGCTTGCCCTAAACACAAGGCTGTCAGAGCAGTGTTGCTGCCAGTGACCAAACTGGGTTGTTTAAAAGAAGCTCAGATTTACTGAGCTGAGCTGCAGTCACGCCTCTTACAGCTGGGTGTACTTACTGTGTGTGGACAGCTTCTAGTGGGCTTCTGCGGAAGCTGTATCTATTGGGCACTCTGGACTTGCTTGGCTGCTCACCTGCTTATCATATTAAAGGATCAAAATGTGACTCAGTTTCTTGCTGTCTTCATAAAAGGGGAGGGCATCTAGTCATTTCTGTTTTGGAGCAACAACTATTTTATTAAGTACTTTATCAAGTAGTATTGAAAATCAAACCAAACTGTTGACTGATAAAAATAAGCCCAAGTAGTATTATGAAGATTAGAGTCCCTATTATTTTTACCCCCCTTGCCACAGCTGTTTTTCAGGTGTCAGGGATATAGCAGACAAATATGTTAGATTTCTTGATTCTTTTCACTTATTACTCTGGTAACTTCAGTTAGATTAAAACTGTGTACAAGACAACAGTTACATTTTAAATCTCAAGCAGTCCATTGTGTTTGTGTGAGTACGTGCACTACACATACATGTGCACAGGGAACATGCTTATGTGGTTTCTAGGTGTAGGATTTTCTAGGTATTAATCTCACGGTACCTATCTAACACATAAATTTAATCTCACAAGCTGAATTTCTAGCTCAAACATCATCACAGCACTTGATTTTGCACATGCTAGAATGTCTCTTCCATTGACTACAGTTAAAATTGTGTAGGTGTCGAGACCATTTGAGCATTTTATCTGTTGAGTTTCTTCAATTTGATGGATTCTTTGTAGTGTGAAATGTTACAATTAAATAGAATACAAAAGAATACATTTTTAAGGATAGAGATTTAAACACCAAAGAGGACAATAAATGCATTTATGATGGTCATGATGAGAATTGAACTGCTTTTGTAGTAATCAGAAAACTTCACTAATTTGTGGGTTTTATTCTAAACTACTCCTCAGTGCTGGAGAAAATGTATTTTTAATAGACAAAGGTAATGAATTTAATACAAAAATGAGAAGTGTCCATACGGAAATGTAATGTAGTGCTCCAAGTAGGAAATATGTTCATATTTTAGAGAACATTAGGATTATTTGGTACACATAAACCTCCTTCATGAAAACTCATTCAAGAGAGTTGTTTCAGTACCTTTTTTCTAACTGTAAAGATGAACCTTATGAATATTTTTACTGTCACTGTATATGTCAAACTGGTTTCTGTACAAACAAAAACTATTAAATAGGTCCATGAGCACTCTGTTAGCTCTGCTGAAACAAAATGCATCTAAAATAATTATATCTGAATCAACTGTATGTTGGACTTCACCAAGCACGTTTGAAAGAAATTAATGGGATTTTTGTTTCTAATTGTGGTATAGATGTGATCCCAAGCCAGACAGTGCTATGCAAGAGTAGTTGCTTGAAGAAGTACCCATTGAACACACAATCATTTAAATAAACAGGGCTGCTTGTTATGGAAAGTGAAAATTGTCAGGAGAAAGACTATAACTTTTCAAAACAAGACACTTAAGGATAGTGTATAGATATAGTAAATAGGGATTTATTTTGGCAACCTTACTGTGAATGAGTTTGAGCTCCGTTTCTGGGCATGATTCACAGGCTAGAGCTTACACTGATTTGATTATATTAAGTTTATACGAGTCTGTTTCCAAGGAACAGCAACATTAACATTAGCAACAAGAACTGGAAAGTAAATTTTTTTTAATATGCTTAAAGTATAGAGAAAGCTCTAACAAATATTTGTGAATTGAGCTCAAAGTGCATTTGTGCCCAAGTGTTTCAGCCAGATATTAGTCTCAGCCATAAATTTAATTTCCAATGCTTTGCTGTTACTCATTTAAAATTACCAGTGTTGAGAACTGCTGATCACTGCTTCAGGCATTTTTTCTCTTGTCATCCCTAGGAAGGATGTCTAGAGACCGGGCTCTGAGGAAGCAGCAGCAATTGAATAATTTGGTAGCAGCAGTGACAAAACTTGCTAAGCCTGGAGATGTGATTGTGGATTTTTGCAGCGGAGGGGTAATGTATAGTTTTGTTTACATGATGCAGTTTCTTTCATCTTTCATCTTTGTGCTTCTAGGTGGTTGCTGCCACAAAGCAAAAGTAAAAATGCTGAAATTTTAGCTTCTTTCAAAGGTTCTGTCACTGTTTAGGGGATGCTCATCAGCAACAGGGCACACTGAAAAGTGATTTTTCATTTTTTTTTTTCCACAGGGCCATGTTGGAATTGTTCTTGCTCATATGATGCCATCATGTCAGGTAAATTCTAAATAAAAGATACAGACAATATGAAATTTTGGTCTGTGATAATCATCTTGAAAAGAAGACATAGTTGTCTTGGCACAGGTCTTTTTATGTTTGAAATGTGAAAATTTTTATTGTGATCCCAAATGTGTGTGTTGCTTTCCTGAGACAACAAAAGTTATAGCAAAATTATAAATTGTTTGCAAGCTAATTGATATTGGCAAGTATTAAATATTTCTCATTGTTTTTGGGTTTCCTGCTAATCATTTTTGAAGATCTCAAGCTCTGCCACAAGTAATTTAGAAGTTTTCTCAAGTAAACTATGAAGTTTCGTGCGTATTGGTAATATTGTACTTCAGTTTCTCAGTACCATTTTGCCTTGCTTTCTCCTGTGCATGAAATCTAGGTGATACTCATAGAAAACAAAGAGTTGTCTCTGATCCGTGCTAAAGACAGAAGTGATGAACTAGGTTTAAACAACATTTGGTTCATTCAAGCGAATTTGGACTATTTTAATGGGACTTTTAACATTGGGGTAAGTGATTAAAACTTTTTCACTTTGAAATTTCAGTGTCTGGTTTATTATTCTTAACTGAAATATCTGAAAGAAAAAAAAGTATGTATGTCCTTACAGACAGTTATGTTTGATGCTATGAGGAGTACCCTTGTTATATTACTCTGTATTGGGTTCCTTTAGTATTTCTTGCAAATTGGCATCACTTCTGTATTACATGGGTGAAGAAGGAATCGCCTGCTCCAGTCAAATACAAAAATATGAGTGTAGCCCGACCATGTTGAAAATAAGTGGAGTAGATTCTTGGTTTAATCATGTTATTTTAAAATCAGTGATTCATTAATGAAGAAAGTTTGGACAATGGAAGAAGACTACTCTGGCTCAAATTAAGCCTGAAGACAGTAAAGTGAGATCAGAAGTGTAATTGGGTGATGGTAAAAGCATTTTAAGATAAAGAAAACAAGACTACATGATGCAAAACTGAGAAGGAACCATCATAACAGAGAGAATGTTCCAATAATGATATACATGTGTATTCAATGTGTAAAGTATACTCGAGCTATATGTATAGCCTGAACGACAATGAGATTAGTGTCTGCTTCAGGATTCTGCAGCCCTAGTGAAGAGTAATGCATAAGTAGTCTTTTGTAACTTGGTAAAGATTCCTGTCTTCCAATTTAATATTCTGTTAACAGAATATGAACTTTTCCAGCAAGCCCTAAACTTTCAGTGTGAGTCTGTTCTTTAAGTCATCCATCTAAGGGCCTGTTTTGGCTACAGCTGAGACTCTTTAATGCTGAAGGTTTATGGTACGTGAGTAGGGCTGTTTAACTGTTTGGTTGGTTTATTTAATAAAAGAGAAGAAATACAGTGCAGAAGAAAGAGGAGAAAATAAAACATTTCAGCCCAGTCATTCCAAGTGTAAGTTTCCAATTCTCTTGCTTTATTTCCTGTGCTACATTGTCATATAAATTTATTGAAAAAAAAAAAATCAGGATCGTATGAGTAACTTGCTGAACTCTGTGTGTGAAATATGTAAGAGCTCCGATTTTGTGATTATTGCAGCTCCTGTCTTCATTTTTTTGGGGTCTAACTTTAAGGTTAGTACTAAGTTAAATATCTCCATGGAGTTTTTATTTAATAAAAATATTCTCTCAAGTTTTGTGACAAGAAAAAAATTTATATGTCAGACAAATTCACTTGGAAATTCTTCATTTTCAGGTCTGTGATTTCAGTTCCTTTGACTTGATTCTGTAGTCTGTTCAACAGACGAACCTGGAGCGTCCCATTTTGGGAGACATATATCTATCTATCTCGGCTTCAGAATTAGCTCAGGATTAGCTCATTAACTCAGGATTAACTTTCCTGTGCAGCCACATTTAAGACAGAAGCTGGCTGATTTAGTGACCGGTAGCACAAGTATTTAGCATGTTGGAAGGTAAAAGTTAGCTGCTTTTGTATCATTATGTCATGAGCACATAATTTTGTCTGATACAAAACCAACAGTGTAACGCTGTAACACGTAGATATGTACAGAGTTTGGTAATGCACTGTTTCTAAGCCATTCTTCACCTACATGATTTCCACATTTTCAGTAAAACAATACCGTGTAAATATGAAGGTGGACACAACAATAAATTCACTGGGTATAGTACTTGAAATGTGAAGTGCAATAGAAAAATGAACACGACAGAAGTAATAATTTCTCTGCTTTTGCTTTTAGCCTAAAATATGTTTAATGTACTTTAATTGCCTTGACATTGATTCTGCATTACTTGGCTATTTTATTATCTGCCAGAACTTGAAAGGCTGGTTAAAAATAAAATTTCTGCCCTTATGAATTGTTAGGATGAGAAAGATCGGGGTTCTGAAACCACCTGTTTGAGTGCCAACTGTACTGGTACATCGTACTCTTACCTGTTGTAGCACAGCCACCAACCACGATAAATTTTAGTCTAAAAGTGAAAGTTTCCAAATATTTGAATTTAGTGTTCATTTACATGCCAACACCCAGAGGAGTCTTTGAGGTCTTTGTTGTTTTTCATATGATTATAGCACTCGGTTATCTCAGCAAATTTGTGAGACAAGTTGAAAAGTTCAAGGTTTGGGTGTGTGTGTGGGGGTGTATCTTTGAGTGTATTGGATTCTTTCCTCTTTAAGATCATGAAAGGGAACCTGAGGTTTCACGAAGCATTCTTCTCCGTTGCTTTTCTGTGTGTGTTAGGCTGCTCTGGGGGGCTGTAGAGTCAGAGGAGTAATACAGGGCGATGATCTTGCACTGCTTTAGCTCTGTTGCTCTCTTCAGGGGCAACTCTGTTTTCCTGTGTCTAGAGATGTTTGTTTGTTTTTTTTAAGATAGTGATTTTGATATATAGGCTATCCCGAGTAAGCTCTGTCTTGAATTTTGTGATTTTTTTACTTAACTAAATTGATTCTGAGAAACCTAAAGAAAAAATGAGTTGCTGCAAAAGCTCATATAGGCTCAGCAAAGCTAGTGATTTTATTTGCTGCTGTTTTAAGGTCTCTATTCCAAATGCGTGGAGCAAAGCAAAGGTCTTTGTTTTCTGCTTGGATAAATGAATAAGTATCATATTCCATGACAGTGTAATAGCTGTGATATTAAGAATCTGTTTCTGATGATACACTAATTTTATTTTTGTTTTAAATTCACATGAGCGGAAAACTTTCATTGTGAAATTCTCCTACTAATTTTTTTTAAAGTTCTCCTTGAGAGAAGAACATTTGTTACCATCTGTGTGCAGTTATAGTTCAGTTGATGATTAATGGTCTGCTCAGCTGAGCTTACATCAATCAGTCTGCAAACAAAAAAGTCTTTATCTATATCTGAGAGCAAAGTTTTTATCTCCCAATTGCTGTACCTTGAACAACAACTTTGAACCCTGAAATCTGAGCTTTGCAGTTCTGAACCTTTTTCTGAAATTTTGAGTGAAAAAAAGCAAACAATGCAGTTTTACAAATCCATACCACTGTATAAAATTAAAAATGTACCTTAAAAACGTCCTCAGTTTAATGAAAACGTAGAGCAATGTGCATGCACTAGGCCTACTCTTTCAGCCACCGAGTCCCTGGAAGAAGGCAGAGAAAGTGATGCCTCTGTTTCACCTGGCCCGTTTGGTATCACAGGCATTGATAGGAGAGAGCTGCTCACCTTTCCTTGCAATATATCAAGTACAGCAATAACTTGCCTTTCTGTGGGAGAACAGGAAGGATTTGGGTGCAACCTGTGCGTTGTGCAAACACACATCAATGCTTGCAGGTAGCTGTTGTGATGGAATGGCATTCTAGTTTTAGAGAGCCCATCACTACGAAAGAAGAGAACAATAAGGGAAAAAAAAGGATGGCAAATTTTATTTGATAATTCTCTCCACCCCCTAATGTTTACCTTCTAAAATTTTTACACAATACTTCGCAATGAAATGATTAAAATTTATGTGTAAGTGTTGTCCTTTAAATATAAATTTTAGGTGTATCTGTTACTTCTTACTGCTGAGTTGAAATCCAGTTTTGAAATAGTTTTATATATTTCTAAGTATTTTTTGCTTGACAAAACATTTTGACTAATCATTACAGTACTTCTTTTAATATATTTCTGGACATTCATTTTTAATTTATTTGATATCACAATGCCACAATACAGTACACCTTGGTTAGCAACCCTTGTTCAGCGTTGATGGTTCCCTTGTTAATGGAACAGGCCATAAATTTTCCTCACCATAGATATGAAAGAGAGGAATGAAAAATTCAGGCGTTTGGTGTAACAGATTTCACTGCAAAAATTCCTCGTATATTTAACTCAGTCAACCAAAAAAATACTGCAGCAGGATTGTATTTAGCATATTGCAATAAACAGCGTGCTTGATTCTTTGGTTTTTGTTTTTAATGTTCTAGGTGGCTCTGCACGCGTGTGGTGTGGCAACAGACATGGTGATTGAACACTGCATCAAGGCACGGGCAGCCTTTGTCATCTCCCCGTGTTGTTATGGCTTCATTCAAAACACAGTGAAGTTTAAATATCCACGAAGGTAAACTAAAGCTAACAGGATAACCTTTAAAAGATCAACTTAAATGAAAGAAGTAAATACTAAAATGAGTGTAGAGTTAATCAAGTGAAGATCATTGCAAGTATCTACAGGCTAAATTGATTCACAGTTCTAATGCAACTGTTTCCTGCTGTTTCTCTTTGCAAACCTATCCTGAAAGGGAGACAGACTGGTAATTCCTGGTTTATTTTTTTTCTGGATTTATCTATTCATATGTCAGAAGACTTTATACCATCAACAGAGTATATACAGCATGTGGGAATCTGTATAATATGCAGACCTTTACCTTGAAATCACAATGTTAATAGAAAACTCATGAAAATTACTATAAGAAGGGGAATTGACATTTTAATGTTGGAGAAGGATGTAAGCAATCAATCAGCTTAAATAAATGGATCTGCTTTATACCACAGTTTACTGCTTGAAAACTCTTCTGATTTATTCCCAAGTAGGCAAGTTCTCCTGTATTTCAGTTCATACTTTTACTACTTTTGCCTGTCTAGATATTTTGTCTTCTTCAAATCTGCCATGTTGGAGATTCTTACATATTTTAGGCTTAAGAGTTTTAATGCCTTTGATATAAATAAAATATAAAAGGTAAGCATAAAGTGGCAGAAGGGAAGAGACTAACAACTTTCTGAGGCAGAGTTAGGTGGGGCAAGAGGTTTGTGGGTTTATTTTTCATAAAGCTGAGCTTTGCCTTTTGGGTGTCCACGATGAATCAGATTTAATTCTAGTAGGAATTACAATGTTGTCTTAGGGTATATGTTTGCAAAAATAAGAACTAAAACATGCCATCATAAGGAATCAACGAAAGAAGCTAAAACATGTCGACTTGAAAAGAATCAACAGATCTTATGCATCCATGTTAAATATTTTTCATATTTTTCTATGATATCAAAGTATGCTGTCACAAGTGCGTGGAGAGTAAATATCTAAGTTTTGTCACTTTGATACACTTTGCATTTAACTGTTTTCTCAGCCAATTTGATTCTTCCATCTCTTTCTATGTGTCCCTTTTGGTTTTATCTTGTGACACAGTAAACCAAATAAGTATTCTTAAGGAATAGGCAGTAAAATTTTAAGCCTTCTAAAAGTAGCAGGCAAATAGCTTTTCTCTGTTGACATTTTTTAAAACTTGACTGGATACTGTTTAACTTTTGACCAGTTATTTTTTTAGATCATGAAGACTGAAAATGCTTACTGTGTTAGAAAACTTTTGTTGCTGTAGAACTTGCAAAGATGTAAATCATGAGTTTGTCTTTGCTAAAATTTTGAATCTAATGTTGTAAGCCTATGTAGAAAATTATCAACCCTAGCTCAAGCCACATTTCAGGGTTTTCTTTTTCTTTTTTCCTTATATGATTTGGTCATGAAACATGATGGCCTGCCCAGATCCTCATATTGCCTGAGTTCTACACTGAACTCCATTGTAGGGACACCTTGCTTTTGTGATACAAAGTTTGTGCAGGTCTAGGGGTTGTGTACATGTAATAGAAATTATTAATGTGACAACATGGAAATGCCAGTAAATCTGTGTAGGCATTTGTAATGATTTACAGAGAGAAATTTTTAATTAATACAATGGAAAAAGCAAAAAACACAAAATATGCGTTTCCTGGTTTTCGTGAAATAGAACTCTGAGGGTTTCTGGTTTTTTGTTGTTTTTTTCTGTAGGATACAGATACTGCTATTTTGTTCAAAATGTGTTCATGTATGTAATTATTGCTTCTGTTTTCCACCTCTGCTTTTTTAGATGTTAATTGAGTTGGTCTATCTTTTTTTTTCAGTCATCAATTCAAAGAAGTTTTGTCCTACAAGGTATGTGAAAGGTTTAGGGGTGGGAAGGAGAAGGCTATATGCAGTTTCCTGTGTTTCACTGCATCTTCTTAACAGATGAAATATAAATGGCTATCTTTTAGTTGCAAGGAGGAGCATATGTTACATGAAATGTTTGTTAGTGGTGCAGATGTCATTGTGTTGCTTTTTCTCCACAGTCCAATTTTAAGGCTTTTTTCTTCAGTAAGAAATTGTTTTTCAACAAAAGAACTTTTAATCGTAACGTATAAGTGAGCCATTTCTAAGATACTTCAATATGTATCGGTTAGCAGTTACAGAATACTGGTTTATTTAAGTCTTAAATGCAACTGTTTATACTGTGGAAATGTCATCAATGATAATTTTTTAGGTAAAATTATTGCTTTTATAGATACTGTTTTCTGGTAAGCATTTGTTTACTTCCTCTAATTTGTGTCTAGAAGATTGGATGTAGTTAGTAGGAAGAGCTTATACTCATTAGCAAGAATTTTATACAGTGTTGTTTTAAAAACTTTGATCAATGGGATTTCAAAAATACTCAAATGTGTTTTGAACCTGAGGAGGTAGTCTAAGAGAAAAGTGGGAGAAAGAATCAATGAGGTGTGCAGAACTGACAGAATGAAGATAACAGTGGGGGAGTGAAAAAGGACAAGAGCAGAGGTGGGCAACACACAGCTGTTACTGCTCTGTTGAGCTTTGTCTGGTGTTTAAAGTAGTTAATGGTGAGCACCCAGAAATTTGACAGTTAGATGCACTGAGTGTGGCACTGTTTCCATTGGAGAGAAGCAAGGCTACATAAAAGCTTTCCGAAGTTCACCTGTCAAATGCTAGGCAAGAGTCTAGGTGTTTACAATACCGAAGTGAATTTTGGTGATGCAGAATGTAACAGAAATATGAGAGAGAAATGATATGTCTAACATGCAAATGTTATGGGGGACAGTGAGCATAGCAAAGATGCTCTATGTAGCAGGAAAATGGAGATTATCCTTTTTAATCTTAAAGTAAGAGGGCATTAAAATTTTTCAGAAAGTTTTCCAGCCATCTTATGTAGGAGAGTTCAGTTATCTTGTAATACACTAATCTTACCTTTATGACAGTCTGGTTTATGTACACTTTGCTCATTTATATGGAAAATAGATGTCCATAGATTGAGATAATGAAGGCGGTGCAACGGATTTGGATTTGCCATTTTTTTTTTCCCTTGATTAACATTCTTTTCAACACATATATTTCTAACACATAATCATGAAGAACTTAGGTTTCAGTTCAGAAAAAGTTTATTTACTAATGTATTATTAAAAGTAGATCCGTTGACCAATGCAGAGGGAGATGGTGACAATTATAGTCAAGGATGCTTGGATTAGGATAGTGTGTATAATATCCTCAGAACTCACTGAATTATTCTTCTTAATCTGTTAATCCATGGAGGTTTAAATCACAGGATTTGTTAACACTATAGAAGTTCCATTATTTTATTTTCTGTGTTGCAGAAGAGTGCAGGGGTCAAGGACAGTGCTAAAAAATTGCTGGTTTTAACAATGTTAAGAGTCTATACAAATGGTCTAGGCTGGTTGGTGCCTCAAATAATCCTAGTTATAAATAACTTTTGTTATAAAGCTAGCTGTATGCGTTTTTATATTTCATATTAATAAATAAGTACAGGTTATTGGCTAGTAGCCAGAGATGTCACCTGTAAGCCAGGCGTTGTCTGTGTCACCCCCCTCCAGTTCCCATTTTAAATTAATTTCTCTTATCTTTCATTTTAGTGATAGCTAAAAAGACATCCAGAAGTCTGGCAACTCCAAAACTTTTTTTGATGAGAACATTATGTTGCAATTCATTATTTTATAGCTGCAAAGAATTAGGTTGTGAGAGCTGTAGATTTGTACCCTGATGCGTTTTGAGAAGCTGTTTGTCAAGACGCTCTCTTTATAGTAGAATTGGAAAGTAAAACTGAGTAACTTTGCACACACAGCTTTAAAAACTTAGTAGGAACTGAAGGTGTGGGTGTTCTAGTAAGCAAGTTAAATGTTTATGTACACCCAAAGTTTGAGCAGTTTATGATTATTATCTTCATTATATTAGAAATGCTTGTCTTATTTTTGCCAACAGGGAATGCCAAATGACAGGGTCATGGGAAAACGATTTAATCATAACTTAGGCTCTCGTTTAACTTTTTGGATTATCTCTGTAGGAAGTCAAGGCGTTAGAGTCAGTCCAAATTTTGAGGTTTAGTGGCAAGGCTTACCTTGTCTCTGGTCTGGTCAGATGAGCTGAGAACCTGATGTTGCAAAAAGCTGATTTATGCTGGGTGCCTGAAGGCTGGTCAGGGATTCTGTGCTGATGTGGATCTTTTCCCTCTGCTGTGAATCCCTCTTTTTCTCCCCAAGCTGCCTAGTGCTGCTGCTTCTCTCCTTACAGCAGCCATATTGCCTGTGGCTCTCCTTCTCTGTTCTCCTGAAGACATCTTGGTTTAAAGTTTTCAGCTCCTTTGTACTACAAAACCAGCCACATTTGAACTGAAGTGACTGGGCATTACACGTTTAAGTCCTAAACAGGTTATAACACGTTCTCATTTTGCTTGCATATTTCTTATGGAGCTGTGAGCTGAAAACCTTTTGTGAATAAGCTGTACTAAGGAACAAATATCCCTGCATAAAGATATTATAAAGTCATTTAAATGAGTATCAAGTAGTGGTGATATTTTATAACATGTGGGCAAGCCTTTTTGTGGTCAGGTGTCTATTCAGTTTATGAATTGGATGGCGTGTACTGTGGAGGGAGTTACCATCTTGATTTAATACAAAAATGGAATTCCATTCAGTTTTTTTGTGAAATGAAGAATTCTGGATCTTTATGTCCCCCTAATAAAAAGCTAGAGTTAGTATCCTTACTTCAAGATACTGAAGGAAGCTGAAGTATCCTTACGTGAAGTTGCTCTCCATCTGTTACAGGAACTAAAATGGTCTGATTTACTCTGTCCTCTACTTAATATTACTGCTGTCCCAAAGAGCATAGCTGTCATTAGAGCATTAATTTCATTGCTACACCTTCATGACTTTTTCTCTCACTATCAGGCTAACTTGCCTTCCTTGGCTTCACTGGTCTTTGAGAGACCATTATGTTAGCACGGGAGGTGGTTTTTGCAGGCAAATGAGGATGAGCTGTCAGCTTGTGTGGTGATCTAAGCAGGGGCTGAGGTGGCCGGGCTAACCCTCCACTGCACCATAGTCCTGGGTGACAAGACAAGGAAGAAATCCACAGCAGCTGTTGTAGAAGCCCCTGCCGAAACTTCAAGTGGTGCAGCAATAGCTTGCAAGTGAATTGTGCTCATTTTGATGTAAGAAATGTTCCTATTCACAGCCAGATACTGTTTGCCTTCAGGTTCAGTTTTGCCTTCAGGTTCAGTTTTGCCTTCAGGTTCAATTTTGCCTTCAGGTTCAGTTTTGCCTTCAGGACCTTCTGAGTTGATCCTGAATGGATTTGGCAGAGCAGAGGAAGTTTGAGTTACAGGGTGAACATTCTGGGATTCAAAATTGCTGCTTGGGAGAACTGTGCAGTAGTTCAAATCACCTCTAAGAATTTTGTCTTGACTGCTTATTGATATGGGGTTGCTTTTAGCCCAATGACTGTGCTAAAGAAGGTTCTATTGCTCGTTGGTAATGGAGGGCAAAATCAGTCTGCAGTATGTCTTTGAGGAATGCTATCTTGTGTATATTGCATCCAATTCAACTGCTGCAGAGAATTAGAGAAAATTAGAGAAACAAATACTCACGAGTAGAAGTGTTATTGTGGTTACAAATACTTGATTTACACACATTTACAAGCCAAAGCAGTATCAAAATGAAGATTTGCAGACAGATAATTTTTCTAGAAATAGAGTATTCACTATGATGGCACTTTTGGTACTTCTAAACGTTTAATTAGATTTTTCCTACTTAATTTGGAAAAAGAAAATGCTGCTCTACTGATTTTTTTTTTTTTTTTCCTCCTAGGAGCACATGATCCTTTGCAGATTTGCAGATCAGACAGCTGTTCAGCTTCCACCTGAACGCAGGCTAATTGGTATGAATTTCTGTAGCTGTTGTGTAGTCTATCTTAGTAATGAATTTACTGTGATAAATAAAGGAAGTAGTAGTATATTTATGAACAGGACATTAGGTTGCTGTCTTCATATACTTGAAAATGTGTTTTTCTTCACATTTCGCCTCTTGCTGTTCTGAACTATGGTATAAAATCCAGTTATGGTTATAAAGGGAGTAGAATTTTGGGAATTCAGAGAGCTAAGGGGTAAAGCAGACATTTATTGCTTCCTGTAGCCTTTACACTAATGCATGACTTTTTTGAGAATACTTAAAAATAGTTGTGCCTGTTATGTTTCTCCATATATAGTTAATAATCCTTCTCAAGATGTTTGCTGAATGAGGGTTACAAATCACAGATGTGATTTAGAGCTATTAATGACTGTCTCTTTGAAGTAAACCAGATTATTTTTTAAAATAGATACAGAACTTTTTTTTAGATGACTTACTGATGTGTATTCTTGACACTGAATATTGAAGTGCACGTTTTTTATAATGTTTCTACGTTTTTAGTTTCCGTGCTCTCTTTTGCTCTCATTTTAGGAAAGGAGTGCATGGGGCTTGTGGATCTGGATCGGGCGTGGGCTGCAGAAGAACATAACTACTCTGTCCAGGTTATATCCATGGAGCCAGAGAGTTGTTCTCCAAAGAACAATATGTTGGTGGGCATCCCTACTTAGAATGTGAAACTTGCGTTTGATTTGAAGTTGAACATAAATCTTCAGTGCGTAAGGACATCCAGCAGATAGAAGCATAGCTGGGAACCAGACACCACACATCTTGAACCCATCGCATTCGGAAGAGGAAGCAGCACAAAAAGTCTTAGAAAGTGAACTGCATGCAGAGCCTCACAAATCGTGCTTGTCATGTGTCATGAAGCAACTTTTGGTTCTCTTACTGCGAAGTTTCTGGATCTAACAACTGTGCATGGAATCATTTCCATCTGTAAAAGTTTAGAGAAAGTTTGTCTCATTGAAAGGAAGGTGATTGCATTCATGGTCAAAACTGCATTGTGTTCAGAAGCAGAGCTGTTATCAGCCAATAATGCAGATTACTGGAGGAATGGAAAAGATCAGATTGATGGCGTTAGTGAAGAAGGCTGTGCGATAGGGAGTGGCTTCACTTTGCTAAAGAATTCCATACTGCTATAGGAAATTATTTTTAATAAATGTTCATTGCAACCCTTTGGGCATCATTCTGCTTATCAAAAATATATTCTAACTTACCCATCTTTTTAAATAGATTTGTAAGTTATCTTTAAAGATTATACAGGGATTCTGTAACCAGGCATTAGAAAGTATCTTTAAATAAAGCAAGCCCCTAAATATCCACTGACCAAATAACGGGCGCTGGTGATGATGTCAGTGACTGGATACTTCACTGCCACCTCTGCTGGTTGAAGTGTATTGATTCCCATTCTTAAGAACCTTGCTGTCAGAAGAAATTTTTAAGGACATTTCATCTCTCTATATACATCTTTATTCATTTTATATTCAGTTTAAAATTTGAACTAAGTTGCAGTTATTTAACCATTTGGAAAGATCAGCCACAGTCATCTTACTGTAAAATGAAAATAAATCTTTCTCTGTGCTCTGATTAGTAGGCAGTTTTCTATCCTAATTAACAATCATCTGTTGATATTAACACGATGGAAGCTTGGTCAATGTGAACATACCTTCAGTACTGGAGGAAAAAAAGAATTCTGATATCTCTAAAAGGTCTAAATACTTGGCATTTTTTAACATGAAGGAAAGTGCACATGAATTTGGAAGCACAAATATGAGCAAGTAGATATGAATTCATACCTTTATCCTGAGTTCTTGAGTAGATAATGAGGGAGTACTTTCTCTGAAACTTTTTTTAGTTACAGGAGTAACTGAAGGTTGAAAGAATGTATAGCAAATATAAAATATATAACAATACCAATTGCCTCCAGGATTTTCTCTCATACTTACCCAAAGAGAACTCAGCTTTTAAGATAGCAGTCTGTCAAGTCTGAATATTATTCAGATTAAATTACTTTATTTAGAACTCCAGATACTATGTCTGGAGAAGATGTCTCTTCATTACCTTTTTGTGCTGGAGGAAGAACTCATCAAGATAAGACACCCGATGCAAGCTTTGATGCTGCTTACAGGAAAGATTTTCAAAATTTTCTGCTCCAGCCAGTGGGTACCAGTATGAGTGTTTTAATTATGGTGATGCTTACTATTTGGCGCATAGTCTGATATTATGCAGTAATAAATAGCTTTCAGTAGAGCAAAACTCTGTGCTGTTACATGCTTCAAAATTTCTACAGTATTTGTCAGTTATAGCTTTTGGATCTACAGAAAAGGAGAAGGAATACACCTGGGATGTGCCATAGGAAGCAAGTGTGCCATACAATAAAAGATAAAAATGGCTTTTTTAACAGGAAAACCTAATATTTCTTGGAAGCAGAGGTGGAGAAGGAGCCTTATTTGGACAAATGTCCAAGAGGTTATTAGGCACTTAACACAGTCAAGAAAAATAGCTAAAGCCACACAAGAATCTCAATACCAGTATCTGTTTTGTATATGGTTCTTTTTCCCGTTTTTTTTAAGCACGTGTCTTCATGTCAGCTAGTGCTGGATTTATATGCATCGTGACATTGTGCTTGGATGAGCCAAACTATAGAAAGTGAGATTTTTTTCATTCTTTTTTCCAGAGATCAGGGATATTTTGATGGCATCTTGTAATATCCATAATGTAGTTGGCTTACAGGATAGTGAGACTGCTTCCCATTTTAATACTGTTTTGCGAGCTTGTCACTATTGGCATCAATGGGCTGTGGTTTCTTCTCAGGAGAACAGAATCTTCCTCATGTCTAAAGATGGAGTTACCTTTCTATAAATAGGAAAGCCTGAACTATACGTGAAGTGAATTGGTGTTTTGTTCATTGAAAACTGAAGAGAAGCAGATGAAAAAAGTGTAAAAAGCAGAAGATACTTTCAGCAAGCGAAAATAGCTAATTTCCCACAGATGAGTAATTTGCGCTTTAATGGATATATGCAGGTGAGCTTGTGCAAACCTCATGAAGTTCAACAAGGCCAAGTGCAGGGTCCTGCACCTGCACTGGGACAATCCCAAGCACAAATACAGGCAGGACAGTGAGTGGACTGAGAGCAGCCCAGTGTAGAACTTGGGGGTGTTGGTTGATGAGACGCTCAGTATGACCCAGCAACGTGCACTCACAGCCCAGGTGGCTAGTCGCATCCTGGGCTCTATCAAAACAAGCCTGGCCAGCGGGTCAAGAGGCGTGATTCTGCCCCTCGGCTCTGTGCTGGTGAGACCCCACCTGCAGTCCTGTGTCCAGCTCTGGAGGCCCCAACACAAACAGGACATGGAGCTGTTAGAGCAAGTCCAGAGCAGAGCTGTGAAGATGATCAAGGGGCTGGAGCACCTCCTCTGCGAGGACAGGCTGAGAGAGCTGGGTCTGTTCAGCCTGGAAGAGAGAAAGCCCCAGGGAGACCCTATAGTGGCCGTCCTCCAGTACTTATAGGGGGCCTACAGGGAAGAAGGGGAAGGGAGTCTTTGTCAGGGAGTTCAGTGAAAGAGTTAACGATTTCAGACTGAAAAAGAGTAGATTTAAATTAGATGTTAGGAAGAAATTCTTTACTGGGAGGATGGTGAGCACTGGAACAGGTTGGCTCAGAGAAGTTGTGGCAGCCCCCCCCCCGGCAGGG